CCCCCTGGCAACCCAAGCAGAGGCCCTGGTATCTGGAATTTATTTTCCTTCTACAATTGAAACTTTGTAGCCTGGAGCAGAGCCAAGCCTGCTGCTCCCTCCGGGGCGGCAGCCATCTCTGTGGCAGTTAATTCACCTTCTACAATTGAAACTTTGTAGCCTTAAGCGGGTGAGCCCAGCCAGGGTGTGCAGAAAGCTTTGCTTCCCCTGTTGCCACCGGCAACCCTGGCCTGCTCTCTCAAGCTCTATTCTGCTGCCATTTGTTTGAATTTGTTTACCTTCTATAATTGAAACTTTGTAGCTTGAGTGGAGGCTTAGGCCTGCAACGGCTATGGAAAGTGTGGCTTGCTCGGTTACCTGGGAAACCTTGCTCTCTGTGGCTGTAGCCATCTTGGATATGGTTAATTTGCATACTCGCCCTGATTGGCTGGTGGGCGTGGCTTGGATGGTGGGCGTGGCTTATGTAGCAGAGTGATGGTTAATTTGCATATTACCATTTTATTAGAGAGGATATATCCCTACCACCCAGTACACCCAGATACTTTCCCTAGAAGCATTCACTATTAACAGTGTCTTTTGCATACTTTCATATAAAAGTTGTATCTGTTTATCTATATTGCTTTTACACAAATGAGAATATAGTATTCACATTGTTCTGTATTCTGCTCTTGTATAATTAACCATATATCTCAGAAACTTTTTATAGGTACATATAAATTTGCCACATTCTTTGAACAGCTTAATGTTGTACAGAATTTATTTAAGCATTTACCTGAATGAATGCATGAGTGTTTCTACTCTTTTGCTGTTATAAACAGACCTGCAATAAATATTCTTCTTTGTGGATATACATATATTTTAGCATGTTATATCTACAGGATAAATTCCAAGTGATATAGTTAATGGATCAATAGATAGGTGCAGTTTTTACTTTGATAAATGTTCTTAATTGCTTTCTGAACTAATTTCATCAATATACTCTTCAACCAATAATATATGAGAGTCGGTATTGGCTCATAGCTTTCTCTACTCTGTGTAGGTGACTATTCTTCTATATGTGTTTAAATAGTTGGATCTTTAGCATTCTGATAAGTGAAATATTGTATACTTGTTTTCATTTAGATTTTTAAAATTATAGGTGAGATTAATAATCTTTTCATATTTATAAGTCATATATACATATATAGCCTGTTTATGCACTTTGCTCATTCTTATATTGGCTTATCTTTTTTTTTTTTATTTGGAAGGGTTCTTTCTATCTTAGGAAACCTAGCTCTTCCTTTGTCATGTTTTGTAAATATATTTTGCAGTTTCTATTTACTTTTGTACTTTTCCAAGGTGTTTTTTGTTGAGAAAATTTGTAAATTTTTCATGTCGCTAAATTCATCATTATTTTTGTTTAAAGTTTCTGGGTCCTGTGTCTTGCTTTAGGCAGGCTTCTTCTATTTCATAGATATAAACATTTTCCCATGTTTTCTTCTAAGAAACTTTTCCCAAATCTATTCTTTATGATTAAATCTTTCAGCTATCTGGCATTTATCTTTAAGTAAGAAGTAATTTAATCCAAGTTTATATTTTTTCCCCTCAAAAATAAATGACCAATTGTCCTAACATCATTTACTGAACAATTGATCTTTTCTTCATTTAAAAAATACCTTTATCATATACTAAATCCCCATATTTACTTGGGTCTAATTTTATACTCTTTTCTGTTTTATTGATCTGACTGTCTATTCATGTGCCAATACCAAACAATTTTATTTACTGTGCCTACTTAATATATTTTAATATATGTTCCTTGTTATTTTTTTCAGAAAAATGTGTTTGCCCATTTTGTTTTTAATTTATAACTAAGAAACTATTGTCTACTTCCTTGACTTTATAGTGGTCAATGTTTGTCACCTTCTTGGTAAGGGAGAAAGTCCTGCCCTATAGCTATAGGGATGATCAGATATATGACAAATACTAGACAGTCAAGACAAATAGTAGTTTATTAGTCACATATATTGGAAACCTGGGAGCAGAGTATACCTTGCATATAGGGCCACACATAAGTTTCATTCAGGAACTGAGTGAACCAGCAGGGGCTGTGGAAGGCAGGCTTTGCAGTAACAAGAGGCTGAGATGCCCTCTGGTTCCTATGGAAGAATGTGGTTTGTGTAAATAATTCTGTTGGCTGGATGGGAACTGAAATTTACATAAGCAGGCACTATGCCTGGTCCCTGTGATTAAGAGGGTTGTTTGACTAGGGTACCTAATCAATGTGACTACAATGGGGAGGGGAACTTACAGTTAGGCAATTTGAGGACCTTCTAGTTTTCCCAAGTTGTCAAGGTACACAACATATTAGGCCTTATTTTTATGCCTTGCACCACAATTGACTCTTGATGCCTTGACATCAATTTAAACCTTGATGATGACTGATAATTCTAGGAAGTAGGAGAAATACCTCCCTAGGAAACAAAGTAGCTACTTGACTAGGAGGAAGAGGGTCACATGGGAGGTTGTTGTAAAAAAAAAAAAAACACAACACCAACTTTAGAACTGGCCCCCTTTATTGTCAATGAAGTATATTGAGGAACTTGTGTGGCATTGTTATAGGGAGTACATGTTCCAAGGGGGTACACATTTAGATTAATCAATGCCTGTGGCAAAGTAAACAACCAGCATTGGGTCCATTTGACATTTTTAAAACATAAATAGGAATCCTTTGAGAAGTCTCATATGCTTCCCAATTAAACCAGCTGCCTGGGATCCATAGGGAGGTGGAAGTTCCATTGAATACCTTCTTCAAGAGCCCAACATTGTATATTCTGAAAAGTGAAATTAGTCCTTTTGTAACTATCAGTAATGCCTGGAATTTTAAAAGGCATAAGGAGTGTCCTGGTGAGGCTTTATATTTGTGGCTTTAGTATATGTAGAGACATGTGAAACCTTGATTTATATTTTGGGTATCTTTGAGGCAAGAGCTTCCCAGAATTCTCTACCTCCAAAAAGGACAATTTTGAGGCAATGGCCCAAGAGTTTGTAAACATATACAGATAGGACTATTTGTTGACCATGGCATCCAGTGTGACAATTACTGTCTGACATGTGATCACTTTTGCTGAACCTTGGATCCTATTATTTATCAGGGATATCCTGGTGAAGGAACGAAAAATAGCAACTGAACTCTATCATGTTTGTTAGTGGCAATCTATTCTATATAATAAAAGCCTAATATGCAAATTGACTGAATGGCAGAACCACTGGTCAGTGGGGGGCGGGGCTTTTGAGCAGGCGGTGCCACACCAGCCGAGGTGGGTGCCAGTGGGCTAAGGGAAGGGACAGTGATGGGGGGGCAGCAGTGACCAATGGCAGCAGAGCGGGGCCAGCCACTAACCAGCTGATACCTTCCTCCCATAGGCCCACCAGTAGCCTCCCGCAGAGGGAGGCCAGGCTGCGGCGCAGGGAGCAGGCCTAAGCTGTCAGTTGGACATCCACTGAGGGCTCCTGGACTGTGAGAGGGTACAGGCTGGGCTAAGGGATCTCCCTCTGAGTGCACAAATTTTCATGCACCGGGCCTCTAGTATATGTATAAAACCCTAATATGCAAATAGACCGAACAACAGAACAACCAAACAACCGGCACTATGATATGTGCTGACCACCAGGGGGCTTGCGCAGAACATAGCGGGCGTTAGCAGCAGGCGACAGTACATGGAACATGGTGGGCATTTGCTGCGGCAAGATGGTGGAGCATGCAATTGGGGCAGCAGCCACCACACGCACCCACTGCTGGTGCCGGCCCCAATTGCTCCATGTTGTCAGTGGGTGCGAGTGGGGCCAGCACTGTCAGTATGTGGGAGCGGCAGTGGCAGGAGCAGGGCTTCCGGCAGACAGGGGACTGGGGGCCGTGGCAGGAGGAGCCAGGTGGGGGTGCAGAGGATAGGCCAAGACCCGCCCCTGTACCCACTGCAACCTCGTGGCCCACAGTTCCTTTCAAGGTGCACGAATTCATGCACTGGGACACCCCAAGTATCATTTATAAAGTCTACAAATTCTTAGTGTTATTTACTCAGTTCATTCCAAAGGGCTCTCCAAGAAGCTAAAGGATCTGAAAGAAAGGTAACCTCTTCTAGCACCATGGCATCTGGCAAGGGACTGGGGACAGAGGAGCCATACCAACTTGCATACGGCCCAGGTTTGCCTCCATCATGTAGCAAGGAGTTCTTGATAGCTGTGCTAACCTTGTAGGGTGCTGCTGTCATTAGCATAATGAGTAGCTGGAAACATAGAGTCCATTTGCAAGCCCAGTATGTGGCCAGCAATTGGCATTCTTTTTGTGAACAGTGCAAGGCCAAGAAGGGCAGTTTATTGCATCAAAAGCCTATGGCCAGCTAATGGCTATCACAGGTGGTCTACAGACTCCAGGAGATATGAGAGGAAGTTGCCAAAGCCTCTGCAATAAAGGAGTCTCTGAGGGGACTAACAAGAGTACCAATTGATTTCAATTTGGAAATATTCTAGAGCCTTCTATTGAAGAAGATCCTATTTAAGGAGGGCCCATTTGCCAATAACATCAGTGAGATAAGCTAAAATTATAAACAAGGAAGATGCTGCCTCCAGAACTCAAAAAGGGCTGGAAGATATTGGACTTGTGTTAATATTGTGATGCTGAGAGGATCAATAGCTGTTTCCTGATGTGCTAGGAAAATGGAACAGCTCTCGGATTACCAAAGAATACTTTCAGGAAAATAACAGAGGTGATGGAGGCTTGCTTTATGTGTGGGGCAATGGTCTACCCCCTGTTTGTAAGAACCTTTGTGAGTATTTGCATGTCCTTAGTGAACATGTCAAATGAATTTCCTCAGAAGAGGATGTCATTAATGTAATATTATATCTATGTTCCTAGAAAAAAGGTGGATGCAGTTAGGGTCTTGCTAGAAATGAGTTTATGTAATGGCCAGACTGTTGAGGTTCTCCATGGGTAGGATTTTTGTTGCAACAAAGGCATAGGCAGCAGAGTGGTGCAGCAGAAGAATGCAGGGCTCATAACACTGAGGTCAATGGTTCAAAACCATCTTCTGCTAGGGCCCTGCTTTTTCTTGCTGCACAAGTTTTCTTTCTTTTCTTTCCTTCCTTCCTTCCTTCCTTCCTTCCTTCCTTCCTTCCTTCCTTCCTTCCTTCCTTCCTTCCTTCCTGCCTTCCTTCCTTCCCTCCTTCCCTCCTTCCTTCCTTCCTCCCTCCCTCCCTCCCTCCACCACTCCATCCCTCCACCACTCCATCCCTCCATGTCCCCCCACTCTCTCTTTCAGGAGATTGATTTCCCACCCTGTATACAATCCTGGCTTCTTCCAATCAATCTCCACAGGTTAGAATGCACATCCAGTAATGCCATTTTTTCTATGAATCACTTGGGGGGGCAAATAACATCGTGATCATGAGATTAGCCCTTTGGCATCTTGCTAAGCAGCAGCACTAAGCATAGCTAAAGCACCTTAGATGTTAGGGGCTTTGCATTGGAAGAGGAGCTGGGTTACTTCTGGTGTTTTAGAAGGGCTGAGATCAAATGTTCCATACCCTTTCCTTTTCTTGTTTGTGCCTGCACCATAGGTAGCCATGGATTTGCACCTCAATAGCCTTGGGATTCTGGAGAGTATACTACCAGAGCAAACCAGCAGCACAAAAGACAAGCAAAGCTGATAATTTCACCTGAATAACAATAAATATTAGGTAACTGGAGTGTGATGCTTAATTCTCCCTATGGTTATGGTGGTCTCCTTCCTTCCCTACAACCTCATGAAGGCCTTTCACTGGGATAATCACAGAGGTGTACAATCACAAACAATGTCCATATGGCTGCCCCGAGCCACCAGTGATGCTTACCAGACCAAACCTTGGGACTCAAGCACTGACAGGTTAGGACACTGTGTCGTTGCTTCTATTACAAACAGGAGCCTCAGAAACCACCGTCAAATGCAGGCTGACCCCATTTGGGTGGCACATCACTCTGGGGTAAAACAAATTAACAACAAATCTTGTCTTTGGAACAGGAGCATGTTAGAGTGGGTGGGAATATGTGACAATACATGACATAAACACAACAAAGTGCCCTGCAAGCCAAAGAGCAAGCACACCACAAATTGGCAGTTCTGGCCCCGGCAGGCTTTGCTGTATCACAGGACCAATTAGCCAAGAGCAGTGAAAGCTGACCAGGTGTTATTGATAACATTGGGCCACGTTGTTCATGTGCCAAGTGTTTTATTTGCCTCCTCTTCACCCCATTGATGAGGGAAAGATTCCCTCCCTAGGTTTATGGGGAAGACTGAACACATGACACTGACACTCAACAGATGAGATTGACAGTTTATTAGTCACATATATTCACAACACGCCACAAAGGGCCGGCCACACTAGGGTTACAATCAGGAACAGAGTAAACAAGCAGGTGCTCTAAGTCCTAGAGTTTAGGAGGCAGGCATTGTAGTAACAAGAGAATGGAATGATCCTTGGTTCCAGTAAGAGGAGTAATTAACTTGTTTGAGTAATTCCTCTTGCTGGCATGGAACTGAAACATGCTGCTCAGGGATAAGCAGGTACTATGCTTGATCTCCATGACAGAGAGCATTGTTTGGCTAGAGGACCTTATCTATGGGAGCACAATAAGAAAGGGAACTTACAGTTAAGCCATTCAAACCCTGCCTCTACCCCATTTCCCAAGATGTCACAGTATACATTATTAGGGATGTCTGGATATTTTAGATATTGTTTGGAATTCGTATGATAATCATAATAGAATTTTTATTTTTCAGTCCTTTCCAATAGAGTTAGAATTAATTCTTTCTAGGATAACTTCAAACTAAGTCTCTACTGTCAGCTCCTGTTATACGAGTCTTACTTCCAGACATAGTTACAGAATCTCCATATAGCAAGAATGCAGTAAACATGGAAGTATATATATCACTTCTAGATCCTCTTTTTATTTTCTTTGGGCTTATATACAGAAACTAGAGGCCTGGTGCATGAAATTTGTGCAGGGGTGGGGTCTCTCTGCCTGGCCGGCTATCAGGGCCCATCAGGGCCATCTCAGCCAATCCCAATTGGGGCCCATCGGGGCTGGTGGCCTGGGAGGCTCTACAGGAGGGATCACGGGAGGGCTCCAGGGTATGTCCAACCCATCTCACCCAGTCCTGATCTACAGGATCCCAGCAGCAAGCTAACCTACCAGTCTGAGCATCTGCTCCCTGGTGGTCAGTGCACATCATAGTAACTGGTTGGTCGACTGCTTGGTTGGACACTTAATATATTAGGCTTTTATATGTATAGATTGTAGCTCACAGCCCGGAATGTTCGGCATGCACTTTTCCTCCAGTCCCTTGTCTTGGAGACCTCATGTCCTCCCAAGGCTCTGCTCACCCTCTTCAGCTGCCACACGAAGTAAATTGCATTGTGTGCATGGAAACCCTTTGCAGGCTCCATGGTGTGTCTTTATTTCACTGCAGTTCTGATTACCCCAACATAAGGAGAGACACCCTCATTATTAGGTAACACCATTGTGGTAAGACCCCTGCTCAGCCTACTGTAGCACTTTTAAATAGGCCATGGGTCGCCCTAGCTCCGTGGTCAGCAAACTGCGGCTTGTGAGCCACATGCGGCTCTTTGGCCCCTTGAGTGTTGCTCTTCCACAAAATACCACGGCCTGGGCCAGTCTATTTTGAAGAAGTGGCATTAGAAGAAGTTTAAGTTTAAAAAATTTGGCTCCCAAAAGAAATTTCAATCGTTGTACCGAAGATCCTGCCCCCATGTGGACACAAGATGGCCACCACAAGATGGCCAGCAGGAGAGGGTAGTTGGGAGGCACCCGGCCTGCAAGGGAGGGCAGTTGTGAGGGACCAGGCCTGCAAGGGAGGGCAGTTGAGAGGGACCAGGCTTGCAAGGGAGGGCAGTTGGAGGTGGTCAACCCTGCAGGAGAGGGCAGTTAGGGGTGAAAAGGCTGGCAGAGGAGGGAAGTTGCGGGCAAACAGGCTGGCAGGGGAGCAGTTAAGCATCAACCAGGCTGGCAGCAGAGGTGGAGAAGCCTTGAGGGGCAATCAGGGCCAGCACAGGCAGCAGGTGTGAGCACCAGGCGGGACCACGGTGCACAGGAGCAAAGAATTTTCAGTAACCACCAAGGGCTCACCCCAATGACAGCAACCGATGCCCGCCTTGGTCTGGCGCCCCCCGCTCACCTGCTCCATCATCCTGCCTGCTGCCAATGCCTGCCATGTTACATGCGCACCCCCTAGTGGTCAGCACATGTCATAGCGACTGGTTATTTGGTTGTTCTGCCATTCGGTCTATTTGCATATTAGCCTTTTATTATATAGGATGACTTAAGGTTAGATTAAACTGATTCCTCAGTCTTTCATTCCTTCATGTATAAATGAAATATTCATTGGGTCTCTTTGAGATACTTGTGATAAATCAGTAAACAAATAACAATCTTTGCTCTCATTAAGCTTACATTCTTGTTGAGAGAACAGGCAACAATAAACAAAAGTAATTGGTCGAGCCGGAGTGGCTCAGTGGTTGAGCATCGACCTATGAACCAGAAGGTCATGGGTTCGATTCCCAGTCAGGGCAGATGCCCAGGTTGCGAGTTCAATCCCTAATGTGGGACTTATAGTAGGCAGCCGATCAGTGATTCTTTCTCATCATTGATGTTTCTATCGTTCTCTTCCTCTCCCTGTGAAATCAATGAAAATATATTTTAAGAAATATATTTTTTATGTTATGTTAGATTATTTTTGTGGTACATTAGAAGACTCTTACTGCTATGAAGACAATAGAGCAGAACAATGATGATGAGGGTGTCGTGTGGGGAATGGTTTGCAATTTTAAACAACATGGAAACAGTAGCCTCGTGAAAAATGTAGTGTACTTTACTTCCTTTCTCATAATCCCTTCTATTTTGGTGTATATTACATGGGTTGTATTTTTTTACATTATGTATCTTTTTGTTTAAGAATATTTTAATGTATTCTTATCGACTAAATTTTTATAAGGATTTTATAATTCAATGTTTCTAGTAAGATTTTACTCTGTGTCATGTTATTACTTAATTATGTTCATTTCGGAACATTTCTACATCCCTTTCCATATGAAACTGTTGCCTTATTTCTTCAACATTTAAAATTTATTTTATGGATTCCTTATTTATTTAAATTTTATTGAAAGCAAGAAATAAATGCTTTCTACAAATTAGTTCTACATACTCTAGTAAATAGTTTTAAAAGCTTTTTCTTTTTTCCACATTAAAAATAAGATAACAATTTATTAAAGGCATCAGATCATTTTAAATAATAAAAAATGTCCTTAAAAGCTGTCCTTTTACATGTTTTCATATATCATTGATGGCAAGTGTAAATACCTGTGTTGGGGATTTAACTATATTCTGAAGAATATACTGTGGCAGAATATGGGTTTCAGTAGCAAACATTTTTTAAAAAGTCAATTACAGCTCTGACCGGTTTGGCTCAGTGGATAGAGCGTCAGCCTGTGGACTGAAGGGTGCCAGGTTCGATTCTGGTCAAGGGCATGTACCTTGGTTGTGGGCACATTTCCAGGGCGGGGCCGGTGTAGGAGGCAGCTGATTGATGTTTCTCTCTCATTGAAGTTTCTAACTCTCTATCCCTTTCCCTTCCTCTTTGTAAAAAAAAATCAATGAAATATATATATATATATATATATATATATATATATATATATATATATTTAAATTCCATTACAACTGTATTTAGAGGTTAAAAGCCTCCAACCTAAAACATTAGAAATACCCACTTAAGACTTTTTTAAGTGTACATTACAGTCTTGTGAACTATAAGGCACAATGTTGTACAACAGATATGTAAAACTCTTTTATCTTGCATGACAAACTTTTTCTCTTCCCACCAGTAACAACCACCACTGAACTTTCTATTTCAATGACTTTGATTACTTTAAATACCTCATTCATATAAATGGAATCATACAGTATTTGTCCTTCTGTGAATGACTTATATTACAGCATAATGCCTTTAAGCTTCATTCATGTTGCTGCATATGACAGAAT